TACAAGGAGAAAGTATATTGTAACAAATCAAAAACAACCAGATCCATTATTTAAAAAAGAATTTTTTAATGAAATACCGTTCTTTAATTTCCTGACTTAGAATTATGATTTAAATAGTCACATAATACTACGGGCAAAACCTTGTTACATGGTACATTTTTGAATTTTTGATTTAAATTGTCTGTGGTCATTCTACATTAGGATATGGACGTCATAAACATTCAATGGTAATATTGTATGTAGCAATCCCGTAAAAACAACAATAATGATGCTGTACGTGTACAATGTAGTAATTTGTTCCTGCTACTATTGCTTTTGTTTTGGATATTGTTTATTGTGCTTCCATTCAACACAATCAAAATGCTTGCTCTTGGAAGATCACCCTAAACCTCACAAACACGCACGCACACACACACACATTTTCACGCGCGCGCACACGCTCAGTTTTCTTCTTTCTCTCCCTCCTTCTCTGTCCATCACATCACTCTTTCATTCATTCTCCTTTACTTTTCATTATTATCATTCTTTCATCCTTCTCTTTACTTTGTTCCTCTCTTTTCCTTTTTTACTGATTTTCTTCTTACTCTTATCACTCTCGCTTTCTTCTCTGCTTGCTCTCTCCCCCTTCTCTTTCTCTCTCTCTTTCTCAGTTTCCTCTCTCTCTCTCTCTCTCTCATTTCTCCCTCTAAATCAGTGGGAACAAGTGGAGTAAAGAAGAATGCCTGCGACTTTTGATAATAGATATATAGCAACAACATTTCTGTTGGGCTTTTTTTATTCAATTTCAATTAACAAACATATTATTCAGTTATTTCTTCTGAAACATACAACATAACCCTATAAATTGCCCTCCCACCTACATAATTATGTCATACCTATGCAAATACACAATGACATGACATATACAATTGATATAGCCTATTTTAGATGTATTGTAAAGATAGTACGTTTTTTAGCCTGGCGATGCATACTCTTGATTTCAAGTCCACATAATACATGGTTATCTTCAATGTGGGATGATAACTTAGGTTTCTGTATAATACAATCCCTCTGTTCACGATAGTAACAATATCTATAACTAGTCACTATGGTAAAGATGCTACAGGGTATTCAAATAAAAAATAAAAAATGACGACACACAGTATGAAGAAGAAAAATACATTGTGGCTCATAAATAATAAAATCAAAATTCAACATCCTACCATGGTGCACTGAAAGCAACTTTGATTTAAAGAGAGAAAGTTACAGTGAGGCTGGAAAGGATTGTATTTCTACATAATATACGGTGAAGGAGGGATATCAAGTAAAACATAATTCATGTCTATGAACATTCTTCCAATGACGTGGTTTGCATGTATGTCACTAAATACATGTCATATTACAGTCGATCAATACGTTCAGAACAGAAAATGTATCTCATTGAAAAATGACATTAACAATACAGTCTCCCGAACTAATTTTAACATGCATTGGCTTAACAATCCGTTTGTTTTAGATGTTTTTCTGCAGTACTGTGTACATACCTTATATTTCACTGTGCATAGAATGAAAAAAAAAAAATTACCAACTTCTAAAAATCACGAGGAGAAAAAAAAAAAAGGTCAAAAACTTTGTCATGTAGCAGCTATTTTCTTTTTTCAGTAATTCACAAGTAAAACATAAATAACCCCCCATAATATCACAATCACTTACCCCCAAGTCACTGCAGGTCTCAAAAAATGCTGCAGTTGTCATACATGTGATGCTATATATACAGACATAGTCCACAAAGTCAAATCTAGGTTATTATGTTGGCCTACCCTACCCTAGTCTCTAGGGATACTGAAGTACACGCCCTGATCAGGGGAGGGGGGGGGGGGCATGGTGTAATAGAATGCTTGCCCTGCATGTAGCAAGCTCATGGATACGCTACTGGACTGGATCACACGGTTCACGACTAGAGTCACTTATTCAAGCACTAATTTCCTTTGGCAAGACATTAGTCTACATTTACCACACTCCACCCAGGTGAGGTAAATGGGTACCCACAGGAATTTAATCTCTTGAAATGCTATAGCGCAAAATAGCAGTCATGCTAAAGCAGGGGTAATAATTGTGGAGCGCCAAGTGTGTCGAGTCTGACAAACATGAGCGCTATACTAGAACACACTATTGTTATTATGATTATTCTGTTGTACGGTAGCAATGATACGCAAGAGTTTCGTCATGTAGACAAGCAACATGTGAAGAGATGATATGTGCTGTACAAAGGAGTATGATTATCATGGAAGCGCTTCTTTACAAGCAGAGAACCAGGCTTGATCAAGAGGAAAGAAAAGGCAGCACCAAAATAGATGCAAACAAAAATTAAAACAACTAATCTACTACAGAAAAAAAAAAACTAATCACAATGCCTGTTTTTTAGTGTGTTTTTTTAAGTCTGACAAATTAAAGTCAAGGAGACATGAATATTTTAGGATGCGTTGGCTTAGAGCAGCTTTGCAGGTATTTGTATGTGGATGAAAGAACAAGACTTTCAAAGAGTATAATTTCGGTTTAAAAATCCACGTTTACTTTCATTTGCATAATGATCACCTACTACTATCATCTCCACAGCAAGTGAAATCCAACCAAGGCGGATGACCGAAGCCTGCGTTGTGTGTTAACGTGCCCCTCCCTTGTTTCATAGACGCAGGCTATGTTAAGTGAAAAACACTCCATCCCTCGGAGAGGACGTTAAATGGAGGCCTGTGTAGAGGCGAGTCACCACATTTGCACAATAAGACCCACTGCACTATTCATATAACAGTAGGGGGAAACCCCGGTGTAGTGGTCCACCTGCACACCCCCAATCAGTTATACTGGGAGGAGAGATCCGAGGGTTACAGTGATTCAGTTCGCTTTTCGCCTCCCATGCACAAGCGATGCCAAATACCTAATAAATAATAATTAATAACAAGTTTATGAAGATCAAAATACAATCTCACAGTTAAATAAATACAGGTTTCTCAGTTTAGGTTGAGGGGGTATCTTCCTACGTGTTCACAACTGGGCAATTGAAGCACAATGTTTGAACAGTACACTAACTATCCATAACTTTGTTCATATTAATACTTTTGACCACGGAGGGAAAATCTAAATCTTTCACAAATTTTGTCACTATCCTAGCAATACATAAGGGGTCTTAATATAGCACTGTAATTGAGAACATGAATGTAGTTTGTTCACACAAAATTAACATAATGACAGACAAGTCACTAGAAATTTGAATCCAGGAAGGTTCATATATTCTTCTCTAGTTTCTGAATGAAACTGTAAAACATGAGGGTTTGCTTATAACTCTCTGAATTCAACATCCAAACTCTGGTGAAGTGTAAACATACAAAATACCAGTGACAATTAGAACATGAATTATCAATAGCTAATACTATTATTGAAATGGTAGCAATTTTTGGATCTACTTTAGAGGGTAATACAACCTCATAAAATCATTTTCAGGAGCTACGGTTACAGAATATTTCTATAATGTTCTATATGGGTTAATTTGCAATGCTTCAGGCATGGGGATCTCACAAGACGAAACTACTGCTACCTGCTACCACCGTTATTCTGCATCCTACAGAGAAATAATCCACATTTGTAAAATGTTAACTTTTTGCACATGAATGTTTTTTAGTTTAAACCATCAAATTTGCTCACATGATTCAAGTTTAAGTGGTAGCTCAAAATAAAGACTCTTGGGTACCTAACATTTAACAAGCAGAAAGGGCGCACATATCATCTGCATCACATAATGTGGTATGTGTTATGTTAACTTCTACTAAACATTTTTTTTTTCTCTGGGCTGTTATAAAAAAAAACCACCACCAGAATTCTACATTCACTGGCATCCCATTGGAAAGCTTGTTCCCTTCCTCACAGGTTTTGAAAGAGAGATGCTCATGAACGTAGACCAAGTAGAAGGTCCATGCTTACACATATCAAGATGTTTCTTGCATTAGCTTCCAGGAGAGTAATACATATACGGTCAAACCTGATTTAGTGACCACCTGTGTACCAAGACCACATTTTTTGTTTCCCTTGAAAATAGTTTCTCATTGAACCATGTACTAAAGGAACCTGTCTACAAAGACCTCCTGTATACAAGGACCACTTTCTGTGTTTCCCTTTGGCGGTCGCTATAGACAGGTTTGACTGTACTAGCATTCTACCATTCTCAACACAAATGGAAACACTCTTTACATCATACTCAATTACCAAAAAAAGCTTTATTTGGGTTAAGATTGAACACAGGATTTTACAAAAAAAATTGGTGCCATATAAACCTAGGACCCCCTAGCATCTGGTATCTAATTTGATCCATCATGTTTAACACATCTTCTGCCGTGGTACTACATACTTGCATGCACAAAACACAATTCAGTCATCTAGTATTCAGTAGGCCTGAGAAGTTATCCAATATATGGATAGCAGTCCAAACTTTGAAAACATGTTAGTGATATCTGCCATATCTTTCCAAATGTCCTCTACGGCTACATAAACCATTCAAGATTCCAATAAAAAATGCATCAACTATTCAGGATTATTGTTGCATTTTTGTTTTTAAAAATTACACCTTTAAAATTCCATTGAAAATGCAGTCATGTTTTCATATCTGTGTCTTGTAAACCCCTGAAAACGGAACTGAATTCTCAACCATTTTGATTGAGTCCCCTTGATATCCATTGCTACCTAAAGGGTTAAATTGCAGTGCTTTTCAGGTCAATGATAAAGGAAATCCAGGAACAAAGTAGAGTAAACGAGTGGATACTTCATAGTTTGTTAACTTGATCCAAACAGACTTTATTTGATCTAAATCACACCATGCAGCTATACTGGATTCTCACTTGATTATTTCTAACTGGGGTACACTGATGATGATGGTATTACTAATAAGACTATTAACTAGTTACAATTACTGCTTATCAAAAACATGCAGCTATTCCACTCACCAATACCTTGTTAAGTATGCGCTATTTCAAGTCCTTTTCAAACCATTCACTGAATGAATATTAAATTTAGTACATAAGGAAAGGAGAGAACAGGGCACCAAGGACCACACACATTCTTCCTAAGCTACAAGGGTTGTATGTCTGTACAGAGCCAGCCGAACGCGTCACCTCGATACGAGCGTGGGGCGGGGGAGGTGACTATTCGATGAAGCGATGCAAGAGTAATAAAAATATGCAGTCAAACTCAACAAAAAAATTGGCAAAAATAATAATGGATAAGAAATAAAAAAAAGAGGGGCATCCCTCCTCATCATGTGAAGCTAGAGGAGAAGGAGTTCTCACGTCGGACGTTGCGCGGTGACGAGTTGTTGCTGGTCTCGATCATGGATAGAGGTCGTGACCCTCCAAAGACCTGTTGCTTGATGTCATTGATAGAGAGCTGCTCTAGACCATGGCTGCTCATCTCGCGGTTGAACTCGGCCGTTTCTCTCTTGTGTCTGTCAAACAGCTTCCGTTTCCGATCCGTCTTCTCACCCTCTAGTTTGGCCGAGTCTTCTTCAATCTTGTGGTGAGAGATTTGAGGGAGAAAATGACAATAAAATTTGTATGGTGGTGCTGGTCAGGGCACATGGAATAAAGGGTCTTTCTCACATGGTACAGTCAACTGCCTCAAAAAAAAACCCACACTTCTTGACATTTAAACAAATGGCAAGTGGGGTGATAAAAAGGAGCTGCGCAACGAAGGCTCCTAAATGTACTAAAGTGTATCTGTGTGTTACAAAATAGAGAAACATATAGCACACATCTAGGCTTTAATCCTTCAAGGTCGTCACAACAGTTTAATGAGGCCGTTTACGAAGCCATTTGAGAAAGAGGCTTCAAGATACCTATCATACCTGGATTACATACCATATTAGACCTTTTTGCCCAGAAAGTTTTATAAATTGCAATCTTTTCACTTCAATACAGACAGATTTTTTTGTATAAAGATTATTACACCCATGCACGATTTCAGGAAGGGATTGAAATTACTGCTGGCTCACCTTGAGCTCTAGTCGTGCCCTTCTGATGGAGACGCGCTCCTCCAACTCCTTGATCTCCTTATGATGCTGGGCCTCCTGCTGGAGCCGAGTCTTGCTCTGGTAGGCATGGAGCAGGTCCATCTCCTGGCGGAGACGGTCCTGTAGCACATTGCACTCTTGCTCCTGGGACTTATCCAGCTTCACCTGAAAAAAAAATATACAAAAATAATTTCAGAATCGGTTTAAGGGGCTTTTCATCAAAATGAAATGTCAAAAAAACATAACTACATCATTGCATATTTCCTCCATAGGGCAGACATTGACCTAGATTTCATCCTGAAACAACCACTTATAGGAAACTACGTAGAAAGTGAATAAAATTTATGAAACATTTAGGTGTATCATTAAAACCATTCCTTTCATTAAAGGCACTAAGCCATGACATAAAACCCCTTGGCAATATTGAATTAACATCACATGTGATTCTTATATAAAAAAGGAAATTTTGCAGGGTGCGATGAAATTGTTGAATGGACAACAATTGCGTATTGACTTGAATTAGTGTGATTACTCTATTCTAAAGAGTCAAATTTTCAACAGACAGGATATGCCTTCTGATAATCCAAAGCCCTTCACTAAACCTATCGGATCGTTTGGTCATAGACCGTGGCGATTTGTTTTAAAGGTAAAGACCAGTTATGGTCATGCGATTGCATTGTGAAAGAAACGTTGTGGAATCGATCAGAAAAGGTTGATCATCTGACAGGATATGCCTTCTGATAATCCAAAGCCCTTCACTAAACCTATCGGATCGTTTGGTCATAGACCGTGGCGATTTGTTTTAAAGGTAAAGACCAGTTATGGTCATGCGATTGCATTGTGAAAGAAACGTTGTGGAATCGATCAGAAAAGGTTGATCATTTATTACAAAACAAAAATCTAGCATCTAGCATCTGCAAGGTTCTGGAATCATCAAAATGATAAGAAATTTGGCCCATTCTTCGTAAAGTTACAAGCACTATACACAGAAAGATGTATATGGGACTACCCTATATCTCTCACAGACCATGAGAGAAACAAATTTACCAAATATATAAATTAGTAGGCGGTTTCCCGGCAAATTTTTTATCATCATGTATTAGTCAAAACATATTCTTTCACATGATTGGTAATGAGAGCTTCCATTTCATTTTTTGAAATTGGGGCATTTCCAATACTGGTCTTTACCTTTAATGATGTAAAGTGTATTACGCTTCACATTTCTGTATCCTATAAGACAGAGCTCAGTAAATACACATATCACTTTTGTTTACGCCGTTGCCATTCATTTATGTGTGAAACAAAACAAAACATGGAGGTTTTATGTCATTGGGGCGGTTTACCATGGCATATGATATATGAACAAGCATTTAGACTACTCTGAACAAGAGATGGACTCACAGATACGGATATATTAATTTCCTGTATGCTCAGTCGGTACTGCTCCCCAAGGATAGCCATCTTTCTTGTCTGTTCCTCTTTCATCTTCTTGATGAACTGCTTATGTTTCTCCCGAGGCATCGTCTGTAAGACCTGCTGCTGTAGGGCCTTGAACTGAAGCATCTGGGTCTTGCATACCGCGCGGTACTGACGTTCGATCTTCTTCTCTTTGGCCTGTTGGAGTAGAACAAAAAAATTAAGTTTCATGAGAAATGACTTTAAGCGGATCTGAAGCACCGACATTGTCTTATTTTCTTTCATTGATGTACCTGTGGCATTAATTTCACAGCTATCAGATTAAGGGTTGGTCTGTTTCTCCCTAGTATTGATTGAACACCTCACTAGCCATCTACATTCAGAGTATGGTTGGCAATGGCTTTAAAGTTAGCACTGAGTTCACAGAGATCTCAAACTAGGCGTTGTGGCGTGCGTCTGTGATCCAGCTAAAAGTGGAAGTTACGAACTGATTCAGCCAAGGACGCAAGTTCGAAACTGAGTCAAGTCTTTCGGATGGTGACGTTTAAGCCTCGGTCACAAATGCCATTTCGAACTGCTACGAAGGCCGTACGAACGATTTTCAGACAATGGAAATTCGGGAAGACAATGGAAAAACAGGGATATTCGTACAAAATTATCGTTCGTACGAACCTTTGTGACCGTAGCATTAAAGGTAGGTCCCCATATGTAAATAATCATATCTAATTGATACACGTCTGTAAAAACCCAATACACACACAGAGATCTCAACTGAATATATTATGATCCAGGAAGATCAGGTAATCCCGTCAGCCCTTGCTCAGATAAGTCAGCAATTTGGGGATAATGAACAAAAATTGAGGTATTAAAATAATATTTGTGCAAATTTTGACCATTCATATCAGTCCCAGGTATTGAGAGAAGCAATGGTTCGGTCCACATTCAAAACAAAAAGTGTGATGTTATTGTTATAAGACAAAAAGTAACAAAAGCCTTTGGGGTTGTGCTGGGTTAGGCACAAGAAAAGGATTACATAATAATGTAATCCACAAACTTATGGAAATTTGGTTCAGAGTGAGTTAATACTGACCTTGAGTTCCTTGGGCTGTTGTTTTGCTTCCAGTGAATGTTTCTTGCGTAGGTCCTGCTGAGCCGTCTTATTATACTCAGCCTGGTTGGTCAGCTCTGTGCTGAACTGCCTCTCCATTTGCTCCGAGCGTAGCGACTGGATCTGCTTGGTGTGACGGTACTCGATGGACTGCATCTGTTCATGGTGTCGCAGCGCCATCACGTGCTCCATCTCCTTCATAACCTGCCGCCTGTGAAGCTCCTGCAAGTACGCACACAAAATAAAAAAATAACCAGTCAGTCGTGATTCTGGAATTTGCTTCCTGGATAATTGCTAAGTTAATGCTCCTTAATCTAGCCACACTTCCAAAAGCAACTTGAGTTCGTTTTTTTGTTATAGTACACAAGAGCAATGAGTAATACTGCACTTTAATTTAGCATTGCAAAGCTCTGGTAAAAGACAATATAACACATTAATCACTACAATGAAATCTTGCTTCTAAGTAAGCAGATTCATGGACAGCTCCGTAAACCTAGACATTTTTTTTTTTTACAGAGCTTTGAGTTAACCTGGTGAGAACACAAGTTATTTCACTGGAGTGTGGACAAACACAGAGAACTACGGCCATGGACCTTGTAAGAAGGCATTCCTTCTAGAACTTTCTGTTACACAGCACAGAAAGAGTTCAGTTGGTCTAGTAGTCAGCTCTATGTTTTCAACAATAAATCAGGTTATGTCTCTTGGATAATAAGAGCGCTTTCGCAAGGACGACAGATGCAAAGACAACGGGAGAATTACGGCAATACAGCTTTTCCGTCGTGTTTAGGGAACGAACGCTATCATGGCCGCGTACGGTCGTGAAAATCAACAGAGATTGTTTTTTTGCTCGCGTTACCGTCGTCTTTGCCTTCCGTCTTGTTTGTGAAAGCGCCCTAGTGACGTGTAAAGGGCAGTCACTAGACAAAAGTTAAAAGACACAAAAAATCCAAGTCTGTCTCAATATGCAATTACACAATGTATTTCTAATTTCACCTCTCTGAGCTGGTCTTGTTCGATTGTCTGCTTGCTGAGCAGGAGTTTGCCCTTGAGTTTCCTCATCTCCTTGTCCAGCTTCTGGTTCTGCCTTTCCTGCAGGTCATTCTCTGCCCTCTGCTGCTCCTGGTGGAGCGATTCCTTGTGGAGCCGCATGCGGGCCTCGTGCTCCTTCTTCGGAGTACTGTCCAATTCCTGCAAGTTAAGAAGAGAGGTGATTGAATGATTGATCATTGGGAGTATTTCAAATTTCTATGGAGCAAAAGAAAAGCAGAGATTCCTTATGGAGTCCCACGCATGCCTCCTTCTTTGGAGTACTATCCAATTCCTGGAAGGTAACAGAGAGTTGAACAAACAGCATGTCTATTGGGGAAAATGAGTATGGTAAAACCGGGTACTCAAAGATTTTTACTTTTTTGAGGCACTTCATGATCATTTTGAAGTGTAATTTTATTTAGGGCTTCAATATTACACCATATCACACACACTGATAACACATAGGGCCATGCATCTCAGATTTGTACAACTGAAAACATTGTTAAACAATGCCTTTAATTGGTAACCTTTCAAGTCTCATATGCGAATTGTAACGCAATGCACATTGGGAACTCTGGCGAGTATGCATCTCGATTGCGCACTGTTTTACAGAATTCACAATTACTTCAAATGATTTGAAAGATCTTACTTTTCTCATTTGTTCCTTGTTATGTTTGTAGTCTTTCTTCTGTTTGAGCTGGAAGGCTTTCAATTCAGATTCGTTCTGGGATGTGATTGTCTTCAGGAGTTTCTTCTCCTCAGTGGCAGCTGCTTTCTCCTGCAAGACAACAACCAAATACAAGTTGAAAAAATATTGAGTTCCCAACAGAGAAAAACTGACCCAGCTTCTACTGCTTTTTATGAAACTACGATATAAGTTCATCAGCACATCTAAATCAGAATGTTCACTTTCTTTCCTAATACTGGAAAGTTGGAAGAGGTCAGTATGCTAGTCATCTTCTTTTTTTTTATAAATGAGATTATGAAGTTTCCCCTGATGTAATGTTGAGAAGACAGATTACTTCAACATTGCATTTACCAATACCAACATGAACATTTGTATTTCTATGAAAACATGCTCTAGCATGTCACATGTACAGTATTCTATTTAACATATCATCCATCGTTGGATTTTTAATCTAAACGACTCATTCTTCTTAATTACATCCTCAATAAATAATATGTAGTAGATCATCAACAAAATGTTGGGATTCCAGCATAGCGAGTTAAACATGAATCACACAGAGTATGATCATACTGCAGACAGAAGAATCCCATACATTGCAGAAACTTGATGAATTGCTTATGTAGTGCACAGCTTAGCACATAAAATCTCAATGGTTGAATTCTCTATCCATTTGACCTCTCTGCTCATTCATATCAATTCACCAATAAAAACACATTTTTCTCTTTTTCCTCGAGATCTGTAGCACGATTTACTAAGAGCTTGTCTAGTTCTTTGACGTTAGCATGACAACACCAGGGACTCATTTCACACAGCCTTTTTTCAATGACAAATGACAAAAATCAGTGACAAATCTGCTGATAACCAATCAGAAGCAAGGATTTCAGTAGCTTATAACAAAGACTGTCATTTGTCACTGATGACGAGTTTTGGGGAACGGGCCCCAGTTGATTTCTTTACAGGGAATAATTTTCCTGGTACCGCATCGCAATTTGCTATGCATTTTTGCATGACTGCTATACAAAATATCTTTTGTGTAGCAGTTTTCTTCCATAGAAAGAATTGCATTTGAAATATTTATCCATCGGCTGAAATTGCTAATCAAAAAATTTGAGGAAAATTATTCCCTGCTTTATCAAGTTGATTCCTCAATTCATCACCCCCAATCAACCAGTAACCATGCACAGAGCAAGATCTTATAAACAAGAGAAAGCTAATTCCATACCTTTTTCTCCAGATCTGTTGTATGCCTTCCTAAGAGTTTATCAAGTTCTTTGACATTAGCTTGCACACACTGGTTGAATTCTTTATCTAGTTTATCTCTCAGTTCATCCATCTCTTGTTTGAGCTTCGTCTCCAGCTGCTGGATCTGTTTCTGATGCTGCCTCCTCATCCTCTTGTAACCTAGGCAACGAGATGGGCAATGGAATCATTATCATCATTATCTCCTGTACTTACAGTCAGGCTCAAAAGATTTGAGCAAGGATAGAGGGATTATCATCTAATAGGGACAAACTGTTTTCACATAATGCTAAGATAATAAATTGTGCTTGCCATAAAAATATTATACATGTTGTACTGTGACTTTAAATCCAAAGGATACCTATGTAATTCTAAATCTTGATCACACATTGTATATCACCTTTCCACTTCAATTTTCCTTTCTGAATTGCATCAAGATCAGGATTAAAATATAAATTCAGAAATGTAACCATACTACATTTAGATCAGGATTACAGGAATGTTTTCAGCCTCCAAAGTAGTTGCAATTTCCTACCTCTCCACAATTGTCATTATCATTGCATTCAGTAATTATATTTCTAACTTTTTTTCAAGAACAAAAGAGTAAACTCTCTTAGTGACTGATATTACTGTTACATAAATACAATCACCAGGCATTATCTGATTCACATATAAAACACTCATCTATATGAATAATACACTATGATTGTTACACCAAGAATACAAGATTTCATACCTGAAAATTGTTGCCTCTGTTCGTTCTCATGTTCCTTCATCTGTCTGGTGACGACCGATGTGGGCCTGATGGTCTTGAAGTTCTCACGATAGCTGTCGTCCCTCGTGAACGGGTTCTCCGGTGTCGTCTCAGACGTCAAGCTCGCACTGAAGTTAAAGCTGTCACTCGGCAACTGCAAGTAACACCAAGAAAGATACGCTTGAACTTGAAGCCAACTCATGCATCACCGTTGGAACCATATCGTGGTGTAAAGGGCTTGAAGAGGATCTCAACACATGCATAATGCCTTTTCTAAGTCATATGGCATTAGACTGTACCTAGAGGCACTGGGGAAGTTCTTCTCACCAAATTCAAAACCATGACCAACACTGCTTTAACAGCACAGATAAAAGCATGATGCTCAAGGGTTTTCTAATCTACTTATGCACAGATCATTCCCTTGCATTGCACTTTGTTCCAAGTTTTAATAGCCAATGGAGAAATAAGAGAAGATGGTTTCACAGGTCTCAACTAATTAGGTACCCTGAGTTTACTTTATCAAATGGACCTGATGGAGGGAGCATTTATAGAAAGAGAGAAGAGGAGGGGTGTTATTACTAGAAAAAGATCCATTCAGTGTACTTCTATATCTGTGCTACTCGTTGCATTCCAACCGGTGTCCTGACATTAGCTCCTTCGACAATTACTCCAGGCTTTATTTCATAAAAAGTATAGGGTTTAGGGTTTAAATTGGGTTTTACATTAGGTTAAGGGAAGGGGTTAGGGCGAGAAATTGTGCCGGGTCCAGGGTTGAAGTTAAGAATTTGTTTGGTGTGGGAAATTGACACAGAGCGATAGTCGCAGAAACAAGTGCTGTACAACCTTCCTTACTGTAGATAGTTTCAGACATTGAAGATTTACAGATGCGTAATGACATGAACAATTACAATGCGTTGGACATAATACAGCCTGATACATGTGTAGCAGGCAGGATATGAAAAGAATATAAAACAATACAAATACAGCAGAATGCATTGGTGAAAATTGCTCTGACAACGATGGCTAGCTGTGAGGGGGAAAGAATAAAGGCAGAGGGTTATGTGTTAGCGTTAAAATTACATGGTGTGTGAAACGTAAATACTTCGAGCATTGAAGCAGGTATATATATATCACTATAGATGGCAAAAATGTGCATGTACTTTAACTTGTTTTAGTACTTATGTACTTTTACTTGTTTTAATAAAGATATGTGAACAGAAGAGAAAATAATATAATGTAGCGAACATGGTGCTTGAAAGAAGGAAAAAGCTGGATTAGTAGGTAAAATAAAGCATGACATGATATACCATGATTTTGCTATGCTGCATTGTAATAGTGCAACATCAATATCATAATATCAAGAGGAAGGTTTTGACAAATAAAACAAAGCCAGTGGATCTTCTTTAAAATATAAAAATTGAAGAATCAAAGAAAGGAAATAATACAAAAAATATCTCAAAATTAAGATGTTGAAACCAAAGGTTCCAGAAAAATGAGGTTATAAATGAAACCAATGCAACGATAAGGAACAGCATGAGAACAATTTAACCACAAGCTGGTCATATTCATGAAATAAAATGTAAAGCAGTGAACTAATGTAGTGATCACGAAAGAATAATTAAGTACATGTAGATAGTACCCAATAACAAAATCATAAGCATTGGAACAATGCAGTGATAATATCTAAATTGGAAGACAGGAAAAAAATTTAAAGCATGAAATAATGATAGTTTAAAAAATAGAAAAAATGAAATGTCAGAGTGATCACATCAATTAATTTCACAGGTTTCCAAAAGATTTTTATCTGGGAGCTGGTGAGAAGTTCTAAGTATGAAATCAAAGCCTAAATGCATTGCAATGGCTTTCAAGACATCTAAATAGACATTGAAATGAAGGTTCCAGACAAAAACATCAAGTCTGGCAATATAGGTTCAAATAATACAACAACAGCTTTGAAGCACTGCAGGGACATAACAGAATGAGCAGTGGCTTGTACAAGTACACACAAATGTTTCAATATAGGTGTTATGTTCTAAATATTCTTGCAATAAAAACGACAAAGCCATAAACGCCTCCCTTTTACACATCTATAATAACAATAACACTCATACATCTACGGCCGGAAACATTAAGGCTCTTCATGCAGCAAAGACGATGATCTTCCAAATGTAAGACAACAATCAAAAGGCGTTCTGACTTTCTAACCTTGACAAACATATCTACGTCATGCATTGCATTCTCTTCTGGTTGTCTCACAAATCAAACTGGGAGCAATGCAAAATAAAATGCTCTTTAACAAAAATCATTTTAATAATTCTTTGGGATTTTTTTCTCATTCAATTGGCTCAGCATACAAATGCAGCATGCCAAGCTATAGGGAAATAGTCAATTTTAATACGAGAAACCAAAAACAATAAGCATCATTTCCTATTTCTCTTGTGCCCACTTTTAAAAATCTCAATCTGAATCCGAAAAAGGTACAAAGCAGCCAAAATATCAACAAAACCATTTTTTTTCAATCCGACTGAAGTGAACAAAGTAGACATGGTCTGACAATAATTTGACCCTAACTTTTGAAATAGTACAGTGTTGTTCGAAGAAATTTCTGCCAATTGACTGAACTCAATTTAATCTGTTGACTACTGAATTCTCTCATTCCCATAAACTTAAAAAAAGAGCCACCCAGTTCCTGTTAGTAATGGGTTAACTTCAAAGTAACCCTATAAAATAAGACTTTATTTTTCTGCCATGTCTGACTGGCTTTTTATATAATATAGCCTGATTCAAATATATCAATGATATAACATTTTCTGAATGCCTACAAACTTTTCTCATTCTTAATGATTATGGTCCTTTAAGCTTGATTTAAATAAAACAAACTTCAACTACAACAAAATAATAGATTGTGCATTAAGAGTTTTTTTAAAGCTAACTTACAGTAACTGTGATACCTAACCCATTCTACATCACTAGTGACCCAAATTCAACACAGTTCTAAAAGAAATTAATTTTCCCACGTGTGTGTTGCTCAACCAAATTCTAGTTCTGCAGATCTGTCCTACTTGTGGGAGATATCAATTTCTAAAAACATTACGTGCTGTGCATTTTATTTGGTTTGTTGTTTCTCTGCTAAGACACTAACTAGCACGATTATAAGTACTGCTCATGCAAAAGACTTCATGCAGCATTGAGAAACGCATATCAAACTTGAGAACTAAACAACAAAATCACAATTGCCATGGAACCACCAAGGGGCCATCCAAATTGCCAGTGATGCGGCTAAGATATCTTTTTTTTTCCATTTCAAAATAAATCGGTGTGTGAGAGCATTTTTCATTCATTTTGTTTTCCTTTGGTTGTTCTTTTTTTAGGAGGGGAGGATAGCCAACATACCGAACACCAAGACAAAGGATCCAAGATGGACAAGGTCTGTACCTTACGCTTCTCCCGCACCCGTAGCCGGACCGAACCCGAAGCGGCGAGGAAGGCCTCGCGTTCGGCGTAAGAGATGGAACCAAGAGACGAGCAGAAGGACGAGATGGAGACCATGCTGTCCAGGGAGGGGCACGGGGACACGCCCATGGCCAGCGCCTCCCTGCCCTCCGGTACCGAGGGATGCCTTACCCTCTGGGTGGTCGGGTTCAATGTGCCACACAAAGATGTCAAAAGTGGGGGGTAGGGCATTGCAATATTGAAGGTGTGGTTTTTGAAGGTCGGTGGTATGGGCAAGTTTGATGGTATCGTGTGGCAATGACACAAAAAGACAAGGACAAAGGAGGAGGAGGAGGAGGAAGAGAGCAAATGGTGACAAGCAAGAAGAGATGTTACTTCACAGAGCTTCTAAAAGAGGAGTTTGGTTAGTATGCAACAAAAGATCTGTAATTACAAATATCAAGTAATCTAATACATTAAAAGGCAATTAGAGTTGAGAAAATAGCCTTTCTTACGCTAGCACATTGTTGCGGCTTATAAACAACTATCATAATACTCTATATAACTTTAAATTTTAAAAGATATTCTAAACAGTTACTTTACTTTTATATACTTTGTACGTGTGTCCAATAAATCCCTTCTATAACTGTTTGATAAAGGAGTATTGTGTAATTAAAATTGATTTTGTTCCATTAAAGTATTACATTTGATAACAAAATAATTTGCAACAGATTCGCTTGAAACATTAACGCTTCTGAAATTCAATATCTGAGAGCAAAAAAAAAAAAGACATGAATGATTAAGTATATATTAGAATTTTATGTCATGAACAGATTGGAGGAAAAAAAATCACATTAACTTATTTTGATGACCAAATCAGACTGGGTATGAAGGATAAAATGAAGACTTGCTGAAAGGAGCATGTTGTAAATAATAATAGGAATGACAATGAAGAGTTAAGTTTTAAAACAAATGTGGAATGAATGGTAAGTGTTAAACAGTATTGCATGTAGCCATGTGTGGAGGGACCCTTAAACAGGACTGTTAAGCATACGTTTAAATCTGCTTAGAAAACACGAATGGTAAAGTTTCAGGCAAGCTGATATCAAAAATTAGCCACGTTCTGACATGCTCTAAAAATTTGTTCAATGCTAAAATCAAAAACTTTCAATCAATCAACAGAGAGGGAGCCACTGCAATCCTAGCCAACATGCGTTGCACACCACAAAAACATAATATTCCAGAATGTTTTGCAAAGTGACACACTAGGTTAAGCGAGCTTTGTCTGTTTTCTCTGTAACAACATCCTTTTCTACACGATAGACGAAGTTGGTGGCATAAATACAAGAAAACTCAAGCAGCTTTTTTCACAATTTGACTATTCTTTAAAGATAACAGCTTTCATTTCACTGCAGATCTCACTGCCAATACAATACCATTTATTCAAAATATTGTTGTAAAAGGAAAGAAAGGCAGAGTCTGTAAAGTATTTCTCCTCAATTTTGTTAAGGAATAAGGAAAGGGTTGAAGTCACAAATCATATGGCATGCATGACAGTCTGTCATATAATGAACAAATGAGAAACAGGAATAGGGGCATGACATGAAAATGAGAAAAGAACAGGAGAGGGGGGGGGCATTCCGGAGGTTTGAATGTAAGGGATGTTAATTCATACATGGCTGAAAGAAAAAATTTAGTCCACAAGAAGAAAATGATGAATAAAGCTTTCCATCAGAACAAGCATTCTGTGCTTTCGAAATGTTGATTTGTATTAAAATAATACAAGAAATGGGATCTGACTGATTGAGAGGCATTCCAAGATTATCAAACCATCTTTTGGCCAAAATCATGCCGTGTTATGCAACTCTCTTAACACGAAAGCATTCAAATGCATTCCGTCGTTCCTGAAATTTGCACCTACAAATTTATCAAGGCGATTCATTTACACCCTAAGAATTTCCCAAAGGTGTTCCCTTAGGATAAATATGCACCTTTGATCAAAATGACTTTGATTTGTAGGAACAATATTGTTTTGTTTTTTGTTCTTTATGGTTTCATTATGAGACCAATTTATTACCACAAAGTGCACTTTCTTTCATTAAAACATCCCTCAAGGAACATTTTCCCAGGCCTTTCAGCTTAGCACAATCGACAGACTTCCCCAATAACCTTGGAATACCTCAACATGATGCGACTACAAAAATAAAGATTTATCGTCAACGTAAACCAGCATTTTCTCTCTCTTGTTCTCACCCTCTCATTGCGCATCTGTGAGTTTTCAGCACTGCCGTCGCTGGGAGGTTGAATACTGTTGACGCTTCCCGACTCACTGTTGTTCTCGCTGCGGTCGTTGATGCTGCTCATGCTGTCGGTGGGCTCGCTGGGGTCAAACGAATCCCCGGACGGCTGCTGCATGGATAGAGATGTCACGAGTCATTGAATAATAATAATAATAATAATAATAATAATAATAGCTCGTTCTTATATAGTGCTTTTCAGGACCGCAGGCCCTCTAAAGCGCTTTACAGATAAGTATAACATTCTAGAACACCTACCCCCTGAAAAACTACCCCCTGGACAAAGGATGTCCCATCTATTTATTGCTATGATGAGTTATGAATTTGTTATATTGGAGGGGAGTGTTTCACAAAGACTAAGATCGACTTTAAGTCGGAATTAACTGTGGCAGGCCATTCATGCCACTATTTTCTCTCATCATTTACTGGCATCAGTTTCCCGAGGGACGTACCAATCGTGGTCACAAATCTACAGGATTTACATTTTTTGATAGTTCATTATTGTAGGAAAAAATGTTATCTAAAGATCATAATTGAGAGACCAATGGTGAGAGCAACTAGTGGCGTGAACGGCCTGCCATAGTTAAGTCCAACTTAAAGTTTTCTTTGTGTATATAAGAAGGCATGGAGCAAATTCCTTCCATTGGCTTCTTTTAATCCAACCAGATTCCTCTTTGTCATTTGTTTTTTTTAAGGAAATTTCATCAAAGTATCTTGATAAGGATAATGTATGGGACCTTACGGGGCAAAAACATTATATTTGCCCTATCATACTACGACTTGGATCATTAAGAAGATTCATAGATAAAAACTAGAAACATCCACATGCATGACACATTTTTGAAATGCTCAATTAATTCTGATTCCTGATTTATATTCCACATAATGAATGAATCGTAACTGATATAACCTGATTTTTTCGCAATTCACGAAAGAGTTTCTTGCTGTGAAATTTGTTGTCAATTACAAATCATGAAAATTTCATGTGACAAAATTCTCTAGTATTACAGGGGGTGTTTCACAAAGATTCTAAGTTGGACTTAAACATTATGGAGAGCCATTTGTAGCCTTAAAATTAAATATATTCGAAAGCAAAAATTCAAATATTTTAGATTTTTCAAAAATTCCACATCAAGAACATGAAATCTCCTTGATAATAGAAAATATGAATGATTTGAATCAACATTTTATGCATTTTAAAAAACTTTTACAAAATATTTTCAAAGATGCAAAAGGCTTTCCATAACTGTTAAGTTCAACTTAGAAATAGGTTCAACTTAGGATCTTTGTGAAACAGTATTGAGAGAAATAGGTAGGATGGGTGGGTGTGTCTGCTTACATCATCTGTGCTAGCCTCCTGGTCATCGTTTGGTCTGTTGGAGTTACCTTTGAAGAGCTGGGCTATCCTACCAACGTTCTTGTTATCCATCCCTCGTACCACCTTCCTGGTCTTCTCTATCAGGTCAATCAGTGTGTTGTTCGGCCTGTCCCTCGTTACAAATTCAAGCTACAGAAAGAAACGGGGTAATGATAATATGATACAGTAAAACCTGTCTATAAAGACAACCCAAGGGAGACAAGAAAGGTGGCCTTTGTAGACAGGTTCCTTTAATACATGTTTCAATGAAAAACCACCCAAGGGAAACAAAAAATGTGGTCTTTGTGGACAGGGGGTCATTAAAGCAGGTTTGACTGTATTTGATGGGTGGGTTCTATTCAAAGGAAAGTGAAACCCAACAAACATTAGCTGATAATCTAATTTTGAATAAGATTATCAGATATTTTATCAGGTTTCATTCTCCTTTATAGCCAATGATTTCAACAAGCATTACAATTTTTATGGAACTAAAACATGGAGAAGCCCAACTTTCTGATTTTTTTATAATAGTTGATGCCAAAGTGATAAAGATGCTTTATGAACACATTTTGTTTTCCCTCTTGGAAGGAATACTTCCCCCTGTGTAACAGTGATGGTTTACAATTTGGTACAAATTACTCTTATCTGCCCATGTGCATGGACTATTTATGAAGTTTCTCCAGATCAGGCAAAGGGGCAGGGTATTCCAGGACTCCTTCTTTGTAAATACTGTCAGGGACTGGAACAACCTTCCCTCTTCAACTGTTAATAGCCCATCCCTGGAAACATTTAAAGCTAAAAATGTGTCTGAAGAGGACATATTGCTGACCAAACCATACAGATACAGATATAGATAACTGGCTGACATTGCAAACAAACGTACCTGTAATAAGTGTCTTGCACTGGGGCGGCTGTCGGGCTCCTTGGCCAGGCAAGCCTTGATGAAGTCATGGAAGCACTGGTTCCAGCCAGACGTTGATAACGATGGAGGGTCGTTCTGGGCGATGTGATACAGGGCACTCATGGCATTCATGTTAAATAACGGTGGTTTTCTTTCAGCTGTCATGCTATTTAGTAATGATGAGAAAGATCAATAAAAAAAATTATGAGAAAACAACATATAAAATTATCATCAAAACAAAGAATCCAGTACAATTTTTTAATAACACAATTGTCTGATAAGCTACAGATTCAGAAAACATTTATAACTTTTGTTTCGTTTTTAATCTACCGAAATAGAGGTCTTGTCTATTTCTCAAAACAAAAGTGTACATAATGATCATTAATATCATCATTATTATTCATTTAATAATTCATTCCTTCTTTATGGGGTAATTTGTACACATTAACTGATTAAACAATTTATATAACTGTACAAAATACATCATGATGTTCTAAGTTATACCTTTAATTATAAATTAACAAAAATGTATCAAATCTAAAGATTTAAAAAAAAAAAAACTTGATTTCATGACTTATATCTCATTTCCATCACTATTACCATATATCCGTATGCTGTGCAATAAAGATGAAAAGAAATTTTAAAATATCCTAATTTTTGCATTAAATTTATCTATGACTATTTTACCAAATAACTGACAAACTAAAAGTTAAGGTTGTAAAATAAAAGAAGATGGAGGTGACTGACCTAATTCGATACATGTGATTCCTAGTGACCAAACATCCACCTTGCCATCATACTGCCCCTCATCCATGGCCAGTATTACTTCAGGAGCCATCCTGTTGGAAGAAAAAAAAAATTATAATTGTTATTGTTATTATGTGATGGGGAAATGTACCTGTATGTCTGCTTTGACTTGAGATTAATTGAGCACCAATGATGCCTCTTTCAGAAAAATTTGTGCGCCATTCAAGTCCAGAATTATAATCATTGTTATTATTACTGAAAGTTACCTAGGATTTTATTTTCCTATTCCTCTAGTGCTTAATCTGATATCACTTCTCATGTTCTAAAGAGTAAGAGTACCCACAAATTTCATCCAAATTTTAGCTAGCACAATGTCATTTGTTATTACAGTTGATACAATCAAGCACTTTATTAAGTTCTATTACATATTACAATTTCTTCGTTTTTTTGTATACATGTTCAAGTATTTCATGGAAATTAAATAAAAGAGGAATCACTGCATGGGAGCTAAAATATTTTAAAAAATACATGTAGCATTATATTTTTCAACTCTATATCCATGCAGAAAACCATAAGAGCAAACGTAAAATGTTCTATTGAGAGTTTTAGTTGTGTTGGGTTATTTCATGTGAGATAGGATGGATTTGAAATTGAATTTGATTTTTTTTTTTTTTTTAACACATGCACTGATAATAGATAATACACTATTTCTAATAAGACAAAAATTATGTCCATCCACATCAACTTTTTTCTATTTATTCATGTTATCGCAGAAGTACATTGACTTTCTGTTAAGAATAGAGAGCTTAGCACTTGGCGATCCATAATCCTTTGGACTAACCTAAATCAGTGTAACTAAACAGTATGTGACACATGCAGGGGCGTACACAGGATTTTTTCAAGGGGGGGGGTTTAAAATATTTAGCTCCCGAAAATTTGAAAATCGCGCCGGCCGAAAAGTCGCTCAGTGAGGGGGGGGGGGGGGGGGGGGGGGGGGGGGGGGGGGGGGGGTAAGCGGACACTTTTTTTTGGGGGGGGGGGGGGGTCCAAAAAAAATCGCAACGACTCAGCCAGCCGAAAAGTCTCGAAATTTCAAAATTTGACATTTTTCATCGTTGGGGGGGGGGGGGGTAAGGTCACCTTTTTTAGGTTAGCCGTAGGTATAATTTTTTTTTTTTTTTTTTTTTTTTTTAATAATGAAAAGCAAAAAAAAAAAAAAAAAAAAAAAGGGGGGGGGGGGTTTTAGGTTTTTTTAGGAGGGTTAACACGCATAAAAATACCAAAGGGGGGTTTGAACCCCCCCCCCCCCCCCTGCGTACGCCCCTGGACACATGAGTCTTCAAGTCTAGCCTAACCTTGTCAGTTTCGGGCTTGGCAAGTGGAGTGCTGGGCCTACGGAATGCAGCTCATAGTCTCGAGGTTCAGACCCTGCGTTATGACTCGCAAGGTTCTGTACCTGCAAACTGACCAGCAATCATGATAACAGTGAAAAGATAATTACAAATGAATTGATACAAGTACACAATCGTGTGTTTTGTGATATGATTTTCATTCAATAAATCAGATATGTTTATCTCCAGAATTATCACTTCTGTTATGGATATTTATTTCTATGAAATTGCTGTGGATTGTTGTCATCACAAAAATTAGTTCGCACAACTTAAGTATTGGCTGTCGGAACCTGTTGAGATTTGTAATGGTACAAATATGTATCATTCATTAATTATGATTGTGATTAAGTTATGATAAAACATCGATACTTCTCGGTTTCGTTTTTTCTGGGACGCACTGTATATAGTGCGAGCTCTAAAGTTCTATCCTGTTTTTTTTAGATGGAATGGGTATTCCCCTAATACTCACCTTGATGAAACTTCGGCCGAAATTTGGTCTAAATAAAACTGCTTTCTTCTCTCAGCATAATTATATACATGAAGACATAAATAATCGTCCGGTATGGGCAATTATTTAATAAAACTGACATTTTTTTAACCTTCCCATACAGGTCTCGACGAACAAATACAGCCGTCGATATCAGAGACTGAAGCTTTGGGTCAAATATACATAAACATGTAGCTATGGGATCCGTGATACGATATGTTCTCCAGTGACAATCTTTGTTATGAGCTTTATATTTTCAAAGGTAAATGTTAGAATTACGGTTGCAAGCTGGTTGAAGATTAAATTTAAGTGAGGGTTATGTGAAAGTATAATGCTGGATCTAGATTTTATTGAGAATATTGGTTAATGTTGGATATTGAATTTGGAGCAAATGTTGCCGGTGTACATGTGTCGTACAACCATGCCAAATGTAATTTCAATAGCCTTTGTATTAAAATGCATCTTATCCGATTCTTTCGATTTCTCATACCGTATAGGGATATTCATTTGATGGCTTTAGGAAGTATACCGGGTGTATTTAATTCTTCTTCGTTGTTTATAATTTTCTTTTTTCTTCATCTCTTTTTAGTAAAGGGACATATTGATGGTTGTGATGTTGTTGTTAATGATGGTGAAACTTAGTCCAAATTCAGGCTAAATTTAAAGAAGCTCGTTTGAGTGATAGAGAGTTAAGAAATGAAAGAGGGCGACAGACATTCAGACTCACTGACACAATCATAAATATTTCTAGTACAAGAGAAGAAAATATAGAACGAGAGAGAGAGAGAGCTCAGAATGACATGGTGTGAAGGAATAATAATATAGTTTGAGAGTGAGAGATACATGTAAATACAGTATAAAAGAAAGAGATGGCCTATCATTTCCGACGAGTTGTCTATGTCTGTGCCTATCAATCTCTCATTATCTCTTCCTCTCTCTTTTCATCAATATCACAAACACACACGCACACACGCGCGCCCACACACATACACGCGCGTGAGACCGCGCACATGCACACCCTCACATAAGTCGTGTGACCAAAGGCGTGTGACATGCGTGACCATGCAGAAGCACACAAATCTGAAATGTATTTTTTTTAACCGGATAATTAATTGATTGATTCTATTTCTTGACACCTTACTATCTGTCTAGCACAAGAGTTACTAGGCATATCTATAATTATTAACCAAAAAATAGATTATTACAAACAATGATAGAAATGCTACTTGGTATTCCCATTAAAATATATATTTGTGGCACAAATTATTAATTCCTTATAAGGAGTGTCTAGATCAACTTTGATGTTATTGAAGAAAATTGTTAGCTCCTTCCCCTCTTTGTTTCTCTTCTATCATTCACACTTTATTTTCACCCGTACTCTCTTACATCTTTTGACCCACCCCGTACTTCTCCTCTCCTCTCTCTCTCTCTCTCTCTCTCTCTCTCGCTCTCTCTCTCTCTCTCTCTCTCTCTCTCACTTGCCCTTACTAGCTCTCTCCATTTCTCCCTCTATGTATACATATCTATTTCTATATCTTTCTCTTCAGAACAACTTCATCACTCATCTTACCAAATATTTAAATGATAAAATAAGAATGTATTCACCATTGCGGCAGTCAAATGGTTACCATTCGAGATTCTGATTAGATATCCAAAATTGAGATGTAATAAAATCATCGAAGAATTAAAAACCTGCAGCGCATTCCATTCAAATTTAAAAGAAAGAATAAAACTTTACAAGTTTGATAGACAGATATATATTCAAAGATTTGATATCATATGATTTATGTACGATTATACAATCTCAACACGAAATGTGTCTTGGTCTTTCAATAACAACTTCGTGCATGCATTTCAGAATACACACACTGTAATTACAATATTAAACAAATGCCATATTGATGTTCTCTGATAACTGTCACGTAAACATGTATACAACGATTGTCATACAAAAATCCTGTAAAATACGATACGTATAGACTCACTGAATGCATTTGTTTTAAAATGAATGAAATAAGATGTAGTTCTTGACGATTCTTAGATAATGACGTCAGATATCATATAACCAGTCCAAAATGATAAACGATGACACAAATTTGAAAAATATCAGTAGTTTTTTTAACCTGGAGGTGCGACAAATCTCATAGTCTGACATATTGCCACTCGCAGGGAACAAACAGCAACAGCGTCGGTAGGAATTCAAAGTTCGAACATAATTGCCAATAACATCACAGCATGATATTATTGATGTTCCATTGTTTTGCTAAATTGTTTGTAAAATTATGTTAATGTTTGAATATTGAATAAACACCTCATTAGAGGCAAAGAGAAAAAAATGTTTGATTAAAGTAAAGATGAATACAGGTATATTTGGTCTGACATTATCCTGTTTTTCTGACAGTATCATAAGTTTAAATATTTATACATGCTTATATCTTGAAGTTATTTTGTAGCAATAAAGTATGTGACACCCAGGAACCTACAAGCCATTCATTTAATATTTGTCATTCATGCATACTATGCTTGTTGGTTATAGCTTCTGAAGGGTAATACAATTGCATGTCGTGTAGAAACGCACAATTCACTTTGAACATAACTCTCATTTTTTTCAATTGTTGTCAATTAATTGTTGATTAATATATAAACATATATATATATATATATATATATATATACACATGTATATCACAAAACAAGATGACAGGCGATTTGCAAAAAATGTCAGTTCAACATTACTGAAAATCCTCCACAAAGACAAGCCTGCCTTTGTGCAGAAAAAAAGAACCACCCATCTTTGGCGTGTCACTGAGTGTGTGGTTGTCGCGAATGCCTGGATGAAGTTATTTTGGGATACATGATATTTCATTTACACTTTGTACACTGCATTCTTCAGCTAGCTATTAACATATTTTTGACAATTTTAATTTCTCGCCATATTCAAAGATATATTTGCATATGCAGCCTCCTCGATTGTCCACTATCTATTATGTATAACTTAATATTTGGCTGTAATTCCTTCTATTTCTATTTTTCTTAAGCGCTTAGAGACATATTTTGTGATAAGCGCTTTACAAATGTTGTTAATTATTATTATTATTATTATACGATACGATGCACTTACGATGCACTTAGTCCTTGAACTAGCTCAATATTTACCATATCAACTGCATGTACATGTATGTAGGAATACATGTATAATGATTAATTTTATGTACATTGTGTACGCCAAGTTCCTGAGCTGCCTTTACTTACGGGAATACTACGTGATACAAAAGACAAAAGACCACGGGAGCAAGACGTATCTGAATACACCTCTTTATCCAAATAAAGATAAGAGAGATCTACACTCTGGACATGTAAGAATGGTAAATTACACGTCAATAAGAACCATAAAATACACCTTCCAAAATATGTTTCAGAGACCTCCATGTATGCGCATATATACAAATTGATTATAAGAGGTTACACCAAAATATTCATGTAATCACCCTTTTGTAAAGTCAAGTTCACTGTAGGATTCTTTAGGTTAAGGTTCATACTTCATTTAATAACTGATATCAAATTGATATTTATGTCCTGACAGCTAACTGTTCCTATTATACTTGATCTAAAACAATTTTGCACTTTATGCATGTCTGTGGGTGATGTGTAGGTCTACTATTTCTCGCAGAAATAAACTGAATATAATTGTGCATTTGATTACATTAAAGAAAAAAGAAACAAAGCCATTAAGTTGACCTCCCATATAATTTATGACAATCGTGATGTTCTGTCTGATATGTACATACATGTATCTAAAATTATTTCTGAATCCGGTTTTTAAGGGTACGGTATAATATAAAACATTAATATATCTTACACATACAGCAAAGTCATGTTAATCTATCATTGGCAGTGTTTTTTAATGATGAAAAATGTGCCTTGTATTGGATTGCTAGATGAATACAAAACGGGTATTCAGCCTCACATGAAATCCTCCTGACCTCCTCACAATATAATTTACATGTTTACATAATGTTATTCACATCTTTGCCCTAAAAAGCCGTTAAGGCTAAAATGAGTTAGCGTGGTTGGATAAATGAAGGAAAATTAATCTAATGATGATAATAATAATAATAATAATAATAATGATAATCCATGTCATAATATTGATAACATATATGATTTATAAGGCGCCGAATCCACTTGAAGTCAAATGCACAAGGCGCACTTGTGAAACAAAAACATAAAAGAGATAACATTAACGCATCTGCATTATAAACAAAGGAACAAAGGTAACATAGCACATACAAAACTGACAGAACACATAATTACATGCCGAATTGAGGAGACACGTTTTGATATACCGTGTGAGTAAAAAAAAAAGGGGGATACACCTAGAAAATTGCTTATTATTTATAAGATCATCAATGAACAGTAAATTATTATACGTTACGAAAGAGCGTTTGATCCCAAATCATTTGGTATCGTTTTTGTGTGTTATGTGTTCACGCTTGGATGAACAGGAGGCATAACGTCATCGCCTACTTTCCCTACTTATTAGTCCAATCACACATTTCTATGATACATGTTACATGGTACAGTAGTTTACTCTAACAAAAGAGGCATTTGTAGGCGACAGCCTTTTTATTGTCTTCTATTTTTATGTTTGCACATCATGTAAACATGCTTTTGCCAATGTCGGACAATAGTTCGAAATGAAATATGCATCATTAAATTACTGCGCGCGAATTAACCATTTTGTTATCATGACTACAGTCAATCTCACCGGAAGGATGATTTCCTTGATTACATTTCTTTTGTTAATACACCGTCATGTAATACATAAAACATAAAAAAAAAAAAATCACAGTGAATTTGTCCTTATGTAATCATTACTTTTCTTTTAATTCTGAATTCGTGAAATGTTTCTAAACAGAAAATAAATCTTGAAGTGTCAACTACGGCCAAGATGATACAAATCACTTTTTTCTTTTCCTTTAGCAGACGTATTGTCGTGTTTCATATTCCTTTCTTGTTATTTTTCAGGATGTCTTTATCTCAGAAAGTACCATGATAATCTATGGTGTAAATGATTATAATGTTAAATCCCTTTTCTTTCTTTCAACGTGTGCAAAATACCTGTCATATTTCCTTCCTAAAATAATAAGTGTACAGAGTAAACTGCGTAACGATAAATGGAGTTTAAAATGGAATAAATGATTTCTTAAATTCCTAAACTACCAGATAAAAGATACTGCTATGGTACCAAAACATCCAGAGAATCTGTTCAGAAGAAAATGTGAAAATAACGTACTATAAAATTGCAAACACTGTTTAAGTACAAAATCCTATAGCATCAAAATGAGGTATAGGCAGATAGCTTATATTGACTTTTGAACACAGGTCAATGATATTGCAGGCTGTTTTATCATGTGCAAGATTTACTTTCTTGATCTTTAACCAAAAGTTCTAAAATGCATGACATGAAAATAGAATTTGAAAGACGCATCATTTCTTTGTCGAAACTTTAACGTACATAGGCTTAACTGCAAACAATGTCAGTTCTCGTCTACTCTAATATTTATAAGAAAGACCAGATTGTTTTGCATGATTCAAAACGGATTTGCCTTGCTTAAGCCAAAGTGAATTTTGACGCTGACTGTCAACATCTAATAAACTATCCATTGGATTGAGAGTTTAAAGTTATTTGGGTTATTTTAAGTCTAACCTAAGGTCCCCTTGTGTGTCTTCCTTTTCAACTCTATATTGAGTCAAATTATAAACATATCAACAAAAGAAAAACGAGAAAAACATTTTGGCAAGGCATTTAATATGACAACAATATTATTGGTGCTTGCCAGAAACTATGGGGTTCAACAATAGTAACACAACAAATATTGATATTGTACTGGGAATGTAATACAAATGATATGTTCTTCTACAATGAACTGTTATAACTGCTTCACTATTTTCCCTAACAGGGCGCACAAATTCTCGATGCGCAAAACCAAGAGTATTCATTTCGAGGATGGCATGTCATATGCATGGGATATGAAAGTATTATTCGACTGTCGAGACGGCTGTGGTGTATGTACATCATAACGGACCATGCTTCACGCTAGTAGTCAGCTTGTCTTGTTCATTGTTCACCTCAGCAACCGAGGTATCCAAATACTGGTCTGTCCAACACGAGTCCATTCTGTAAGAGAAGAATTTACCAAGGAATGAGTTGACTTTGTAACAGGAATCGAATCGGAAATATGCATCCCAATTTTAATCATTCATCATTTCAAAGGATCGAGGCATAATAATTTTACGAGCATGAATATAGAATATAAATGATTAATTAAGGCTCACTCAATGATTGTCAGATGTGGATGCGTCTTCATGGATTGGATGATCTCAGTTGCCTTTTTGTTGCCCAGCTCAATGCGGCTAAGGGACAGCTTATGGAGCCGAGGACACGATGTTTCGACTGCTCTGCAGAATTCTGCGGGATCAAGTGTTTTCTGCCAATCGATGCGGAGTTCGGTGAGATCTCGGAATGGGGAACACGCCGTGATGATAGAGTTTGAGTCATAATCTGCGCCATAGAAGTTAAGTGCAAGCATTTTAACTCGTGGGCATGACGTATGTAGCCCTATCTTCCACAGGCCAGCCAAACCCCGACAGTCTAGAGACAGCTCATGCACGGACGTCTTTTTCAGAGTCTGAAGGAGTATATCGAAGTTGACATATTTTGCAATGAAACAGTTTTTACCAATAATGGTTTTGGCAATAATTTTAAGATGAAGAAGAAGAATAAAAATAACAAATAATGATAGATGATGATATCAATAATGATAATATTAGTAATAATAGCAGTAATATTAATGATAATGAAATAATAATAATAATAATAAAATAACAGTGGATACTTTCAAAGCATTACGCATCAATGTTATCACAAATATATTAATCACCATAATTATGCTCTTAGCTCGTGCCCCAGGAAGGATCGTGTTGTCAATAAAATTTATAAAGATTATGGACTGTCCGTTTAGATACATGTACAATTGTGACTAATTGCAGTTTACTTTGCATGACAAACATGGAAAATGAACATTAATAATCTTATTCTTTGCCGCATGATTTTAAATGAACACGATTCTAATTGGAAGGGTCATTGATTCATTTGGGGACCTTTTAAAAGATTTTTGGAATTCACCTAGGGACCGAGGAACCGGGTTACTGCGATTGTTGTTGCAAGTTCACCTTGCCTAACACAGCACCCCTCCTTGAAAAAGTCAGTGGTACTTGGGTCAGCGACCCCCCCCCCCCCTTTCGTTGTTTGCAGGATCACTGGCAAAAAATCTTCAGAACCCCTCGTAACACTACAGAGGGTTTGTTTTGTTTTTGTTCTATTTTTGTATCGTTTACCTGTCGAAAACATTATGAGGTGGAAAGGCGTTTACAAAAATTGTATTGATTTTTTTTTTTTTTTTTCTCAGAGTATTTTTAAACTTGCAACCTTTACTTCCATGGACCAGCTACTGATGGGAGAAAAAATGTTATCCTCAGCGTGGAAGTTCAAAAGTGTCACCAGGACTGTTACAAGCTTATAAACAACTTAAGTCATGTAGATCAAATCTAATCATGTCAAAACAAAATCAATGATACATACTGCTGTCTTATTTTCGGTCTTGTCTTCGAGGAGAATTACTTTTCCTACCAAGCTGAGAGATTGAAGTTTCGGCAAGGAGAGCACAGCGCGCAGGATATGTCGATTTACTTCACACCATTCCATTCTCAGCGTATGAATCTATTCAAAAGAAGAAAAGCAGTTATAACTCCATGGCAATTCTTTGTTCATCAGAGTGAAATGGAACATTAGGGTCTAATATACAGTGTGAGTCAAAAATAAGTTTAAACCTAGAAAATTGCTAATTATTTTAAAAATCATCTATGAACAGTATATTATCATACATCTTATGAAAGCGTTTTTATCCCAAATCATTAAGTATCATTTTTGTGTGGTACGTGTTCACGCTTGGATGAACAGGAGGCATTGTTTGCGAGAGTACAAAAATCGACTTGCGCCAAAGTTTCTTCTGTGATGTTTCAAAAAAAAACAATTGGGTATTAATTCGGTCTTTGCAGATCCAAATAACATCCCTAACAAAATAAATCATGCCACACCTATCAAATATCAAATATCAAAAATAAAAAATAAAAACTGTGCCCGCGTGTGTGTATGTTTGACTTTGATTCTGCGAAAAGCCGATGCAATGCATCTTATTTGATACATTTAATTCATTCTCTCACTTTAATACATCACATTAGCAACTTTGGCGCAAGTCGATTTGTTTCACCCTTGCAAACAATGCCTCCTGTCATTCAAGCGTGAACACATACCACACAAAAATGATACCAAATGATTTGGGATAAAACAATCTTTCATAAGATAATTTACTGTTCATAGATGATCTTGAAAATAACTAGCAGTTTTCTAGGTGTAAACATTTTTTTTTACTCACACGGTAAAGAAGACTCTCATGTAGATCCAGCAATCGTTTATAAAAGCTAGCTTGTATTACTTAACATAACTCAGCCCCCATATGACACTGCCCTGTAAATAGTCAATAAGTAAACAACTGCTCCAGACTATGCTTGGATAGCGTCGTCAGTTTTCATCTTTAATATTGAGTTTTACTAACTTATTGTGTCGGGTCAAACAACTTTTCGAGAGATGAAGTATATCAGAATACAAACAGCAATACTGTGTCGCGATGGATAAGTTGTTTGGTATGTGTTTAGAAAGACGGTGTTTACATTTGGAAAACGAATACTTAAAAACAAATACCCATCCTATTTGTCCCAGATTAGCAGGCAAACTCTATTTAAAGACTTAAAGGTGAAATTCAAAGAAAATTACAAATATGTCAATTAATGTATCACTATAAACTGGTAAGCTAACAGATGGCCATCGTATACGTTTTTAGGTCAACTACATATCGGGTGATTGATAAAATACAAATACAACCACCTCCATAGCAGCTGGGATCTACGAGAGATTCGCCAGAAAAATAACGATGTTTTAATGACGTCACAATATGGACCAATACTGCCCAAGCAGACGACATCCCATAAAGAATGAACATAATTGCAAAGCTATTATTTGTCAAATTATAATAAATTTAGTGTATATAAATGTAATGGCATGTCAAACCATTCAAAAGGGGATATGACCCGATTCTGATAACTAAAATATTTTGCTTGTAAATACACATGATAGGGGTTAATTAACAATCAAAGAAACCAGACTTTCAAATCGAACCCCCCCCCCCCCGGAATGATATTAAGGACGGCATTTGTTCCCTCTTGAAACGCCGAACATACCGCGGTGTGTGCAACTGAATATACAATGGCGTCTTATTTTGTTTACAAGCGACAGATTCCTTTATTTTTGTATCGCTGCATATGTCATCAAAATAAAACCATGTGAGGGGTTTAGAGTGAGGCAATAGATTATACATTTAGCCTTAAGATAGTGCAGTAAGAGAAAGAACTCAAGAGAAGATGAAAACAAAGGCACTGAAAATGTGTGAGATGTCATGGGACATCGTCTGCTTGTGCGAATCATGTCCATACTGTGATCTCACACATCTCAGCAGCGTTCGGAGAGCTCTTCAGGTGCTATGCCGGGGCTGTATTTAATCGTTTTGTGATTTATAATAATCATTACTTCGAATGTTTCCAAGCATTGAATTTTGATAACCTTGTCGAATAAAAGTTTTTAACTTTGCAATAATGAAAATAAAGTTAGTTTTTAAAATCAATGAATATCTACTTTAAATTCGGCTTATTTCAGAGGCTTCTATAGGTAAACGCATCTAAATCAACGCCCTATAAAAAGACCCAAATCGATGTCAATTGCAAATATTTTAAGTTATACAAGATCAATGTACCTTTGATTGTAACGCTTCTGCAGCCATTGATGAGTAGAACTTGTCAGTCAGCTTCACACGGTGCATCTCCAGTGATTGAAGCTTAGGCATTGTACACAGTCCTCTTGCGTAGTGGTGTGATGCATTGTTACCAAGGTCAGCGTCTACATGCCTCCACTTTTCGATCTGGCGGCATGACAGGAAAACGTAATGAAATACATTATCAAGTGCCTGAAATAGCTTTGCTATTGCATTGTTGAAACAGCTCGGAAATAATGTAAGCCTATACATATGCATAATTTATATTCAAGTTGTATTTAAAGAGAAGGTTGAGTTCTGGGAAGAGGTGAAAAATAATTGTGAGCATTACTCATTCTTATTATGCAAGTGTGGAAGAACATTAGTTAAGACATGTTCCCTGGAAAGCATGGCTCTTCAAATGCCTTCATATTCTAAATATGCATGTAACATCGTAAAAATCGGGGGCCGGCTTTTTACGCCACGTGTTCGTGTAGTCCCATATACATCTTTCTTTGCAAGTGTTTGTAACTTTACCAAGACTTGGCCAAATTTCTTATCATTTTGATGATTCCAGAACCTTGCAATACTCACAAATTCTTATATGCTAGATGATCAACCTTTTCTGGTCGGTTCCACACCGTTTCTTTCACAATTCAATCGCATGACCAGAACTCAACTTCATCTTTAAGTCCGAAACGATGGAAAGTTCTGGGGATGACTTAATCAGTTGCCTTGTGAGTCGATCCTAATGTATATTCTCTTTCTCTGATGTAACAATTGTTATTAACAGATTGCACGTGTCTGATTTAAATGTGATGTATACCTGTATACGGAATGCATTCTCTTTCTTACAGTCTTTTGCGATAAAACTGTTTACAAATAAACTTTGTTTATAAAGTTTTGTTCAACATATACAAGTACTCGCAGAAGATTATACATATCAACCAAGATTAGAGAGGCATGATACCTTTGATTTTGACGCCTCATCAGCCATTGATGCATAAAAGCTATCGCTGATCGTCATTCGGCATAGCTCTAGGGATTTAAGGTTTGGCATGGCGAAGATTCCTTTGGCATAATGGTATGATGAACCAGAAGATAGTCTCGCTTCAACATGCCTCCAAATGGCAATCTGTCAATGAGACAAAATATAGTCAACGACGTGAAATTTGTATAAACCGAAAAACGGAAACTACAAGTCTTTGAAACCAACTTACAAACCTATCATGACTAGTATACCTTCCCACAAGGAACAGGAGAATTAATGTATCATTAAAAAATATGACAATTTAAACAAGTAATGACTTGACCGCTTTATGTTGAAATCTGTTTCACTCTCCTGATCACAGAGTGCAAAAATCGCAATTGTTAAGGGCTTTTACGCAAGTACTGGTCTAGGCATCATTATAACATAATTTATATAAGAATGAAACGGATTGTCAAAAGCAACTTACTATAACAGATATGAATTGCAGAGTCGCATATGCACATGTTATGAAGTGCAGAATACTTTGTGTTATTTGTGTTAAATAGATATCATATCAATACTGACTGATGATGAAATATGTTAATAAGCATATAATTTTGAGCAAAATCACATTCCATATCCTAGGTCCACAAAACACTGCTTATGACTAAAAGTTGAGATATCTCACTTCTTCTTA